GTTTTAGATTTGCGTGTTTTTTTTTTGAGTTGCAAAATCTACTTGAACATGACGCTGCTTTTTTCGAAGTATTTCAAGAACCATTCGAGCCACAGAATTCGTTTTGGCATCGTTGGATAGAGAACTGTTCTGACAACAGTGTAAGCGTTCAAGCGAACCACCTCTGAAGTTGCAAGCCACTCGTGCTTGCGAAACGTCAGGAAGAAAAACTCGAAAAACCCTCCAGTTCCATCCAGCTATATTTGCATTATTTTTTCAGACCAACTAACCCAATGTCCGTTCGCTACCAATCGCTTGACCGAGCCCCAACCGTTGTAGATCATGATCGCGAATTTCTGCCGATCCGCGATCGAAGAGATCGGTCCCTGGAAAGGGGCCTTTATTTCGAAGACGATCCTTATATGTGAGTGAACACCAACCACCGGAAAAAAATGCTCAATCGTACTCACTTTGGCTTGCATTTGTTGGGCAGATCCCGATCAGCTCGCCAGTCTCCAACATCGCATCAACCGTTCATTGGCGAGCTGCAGCACCAAAACTCCGATCTTCAGCGCGATCTGGCCAATCTGAAGAAAGAGCTGGACTTGACCAATCAGAAACTGGGCTCGTCCATGCACTCCATCAAGACCTTCTGGAGCCCCGAGCTGAAAAAGGAGCGAGCCCTTAGGAAAGAGGAGTCGGCCAAGTACAGCCTGATCAACGATCAGTTGAAGCTACTGAGCAGCGAAAATCAGGTAAGTTTTTGCGGTAAATCGCACCTTTTTTCGGAAAAATTATCCAGTTCCAAACTGGAAAACCTGCGCTAACCACCAGGCGACTCCAAGGTGAGTTGGACGGGAAAATTGGAAGTAAACTGCTAAAAAACGCGTTAATTTAGTTTAGTCACTCCTAACCGAATTATTTCCCGGATCATCACTTGGGGCCCCATGCAAACCATATGCGGCGGCAAATAAATTCTAAATGAAATTTTGGCTCACTGGCCGCTATAATTAGATCAGATCTAAACACACAGTGATCGATCGCAAGGTAAAGCGTGCAAGTGAAACCAAATTGGCCGTTCCACGGTTTTATTTTCGTTGCCATTACGGGAATTTCCAGGAAAACCTGCACTGGACTTAACGGGAGAACTGAAGATACATTTGAAGTTGATTTGAATTTTTTTTTAAATGCTCCGGTATCAGAGGACGCTGCTAACGAAAATTAACCAGTTCTTCTGCTATAAGCTTTTATCTTCAATGCTCGTTCATCAGTCCTTTTGAGAGGCGATAAGAGGAGGGCGAGGAAACGTCTTTGTTCAAATCATTGCAGAAAATCTCCAGAAGTTCGAGGTGGAAAAGTGGGTACTTTAGTGCGACAGTCGCCCTTCTAGCCCGAAAATCCGATTAGAACTACGAAGGGCGACAGAGGCAATTATGAAAGGACGAAGCTGCCGATGGGAGAAATTCAAACAGGGTCGAAGCAAGGAGATACCGATCTTGAAATTTGCCACTCTCAGGCACCTTCCTGGCCGGTTTCATGGGGTGCCTGAGATTGGCAACTTTAAAAATCCCCACATCAGAAAAGCAAATTTCATTGATCTTCAAAATCGAAGTGCCCCAACTATGTGAATTGCCTCCTGAAAGAAAAAAAATTCAACTAAAACTGTGTTCACACCGCCCAAGTTCGTAGCGAAATCGACGTCTAAAAGGGGGAACGATGAAATTAATAACGAAATTGTTGCCAAACCCAAGCACGCGCTCGATTAAGCACTTGGAGTCGCAACAATCCTCTATTTTTCGTTGCGGTTTCCTTTTGAAAACTGATATCGTTTAACGTTTTTCCGCCACGGCCAGCTAAAATGAGCAACCGGCCCATGGAGCGCCTAAAATCGATTAAAAGAGCTTAAACAATACAAACACCGAAAGCGCGAGTTTATGGCTTGTTTTGTCTTGTTAATCCCGACTGAAAGTAACATGTGGGCCTGACACTGATTTGTTTTGTTCGTTATACGCACTGGGTTTTGAGCCTATTAGCACTCATCAGCTGGGTTTAGTTTTAGGTTTTTTTAGTAAAAATCCGTGCCGGGGGTGCCTGAG